ACCAGAATGCAGGACGGTGGTATGCTGTGGTTTCTCCTGTATCTCTGAGCGAGAGCTGTTCATGTTCAAAAATATTGATTAAACTATGTTTGGTCACTTTGTGGTGTTCCCACAAAACACTGTTATTTTGCATACTGTAATGGCACCAGCTTGAACAAAAAAAAGTCTTAACAAAGAGTGGGTATGGACAGGAAATGTCAATTTTCTGTCAGCTTTCTATTTTATTTGAACGTATTATATATTCAAAGCATCACACACATAATTCACAGTACAGTCAGTCATACTGAACATTTTAAACATGTTCATTTCAAGACCTTTGTTACAGCTTTGCATTTTAGCGTCTGTTTACACATAGGTGTAGATCTTCATGGGAGATGCAGGGGACACGTCTCCCTCAATATTTAGAACATGTACATTTGTCCAAGAAAAACAAAACTAGCAGAGGACTTTAATTTTGACAGAATAAAAGACATTAACACCATGAATTGATACAGAAAAGACACAAATTGGTGCACAGCAAGTCACCAGAATGCAGGACGGTGGTGGTGCTGTGGTTTGTCCTGTGTTTCTGAGAAAGGGCTGTTCATGTTCAAAAATATTGATCAAACTACGTTTGGTCACTTTGTGGTGTTCCCACAAAATACTGTTATTTTGCATACTGTAATGGCACCAGCTTGAACAACGAAAAAAGGTGTAACAGAGTGTATGGACAGGAAATGTCAATTTTCTGTCTGTTTTCTAATTTATTTGAACTTATATATTCAAACCATCACGCACATCACATACAGTACAGTCAGTCATGCTGAACATTTTAAACATGTTTATATCTTTGTTACAGCTTTGTATTTTAGCTTCTGTTTACACATAGGTGTAGATTTCCATGGGAGACGCAGGGGACACGTCTCCCTCAATATTTAGTACATGTTCATTTGTCTAAGAAAAACATGAAAGCAGCAGAGGACTTATATTTTGACAAAATTAAAGACATTACCACCATAAATTGATGCAGAAAAGGCACAAATTGGTGCACAGAAATTCACCAGAATGCAGGGTGGTGATGTGCTGTGGTTTGTCCTGTGTGTCTGAGCGAGAGCTGTCCCAAAATATTGATCAAACTATGTTTGGTCATTTTGAATTTATGCTTGAATGAAGTGGTATTCCCCTAAAGATCAGTTATTTTGCATACTGTAATGTCACAGGCTTTAACAAAAAAAGTAACAGAAAGCGTGTATAGATGAGAAATGTCAGTTTTTTGTCTGTTTTATTTGAGCTCATCGTGCATACAAAGCATCACACACATCACTTACAGAACAGTCAGTCATGCTGAACATTTAAACATGTTCATTTCTTTAAATATCTTTGTTACAGCTTTACATTTTAGCTTCCGCAAAGTCGTACATGTGGATTTTGTGGGGAACTTATGGGACATGTCCCCCTCAATATTTAGAACATGTGCATTTGCCTCCCCCAACCACAATAAAAGCATGAAACTAGCAGAGGACTTATATTTTGACAAAATTAAGTACATTTACATCATAAAATGATAAAAGCTATGAAATAGTGCATAAAAATTCACCAGAATGCAGGAAATTAAGTGTTAGATGCTGGTGCAGGACCCCCAAACCCCCATTTCATATGTGTCCCCCAGTTTTGAAACGAAACCTACGCCTTTGTGTGTATATATATTACACCTAATTAATTCATGACTGTCCTTTTGGCATAAGAGAGATTTACTTTTGACGTTTTTAAAAATACATTTATTGATTCATTTACTGACTGAGTCAAAATGACTTGAGCCACGATCTTTTATTCCTAATATCTAGAACGTCACCTATTTGAAGCTGATTAAAAGGTTAATCATCACACACTCCTCTTACGTTTCAGAATATGTGCATGTTTATAAAAACACCTACAGTGTTGATAATAAGTCACATATAATTACTGGCAATCATTTTTCTAGCTGCAGTGAAGCTTCTGCTTTTTTGCTCAACTTCTGTAAGTAATTCAATCAGTTGGAGAGCAACTGTTATAAAGTTTGATAGGATCCACATATGCAGGCTTTTATGGTTGTAACATTTTAAGACTTTTCATTACTGTTATAATTATCCTTTTCTTACTATCCCATATTTTACTCTCCAGAGGAAGAAAGTAAGAAGAGTCATATTTAATAGATCTGCTCGGACTTACTGCAACCTTTATTTTAATGCTTGGCAAAGAATAAGTTATGTACATTTATATTTTTAGATGCAGAGCCACTAAAGGAGGATTATGATACATAAAACATAGAAGTGTTGCTTATATTTATTAATATACAGCATTGTTTAAAGTGAAAATCCACAGTTGGATTCTCCGCATGACTGCCTTTTTAAATAAATGATGAAAATAGGACAAAAACTATAAATGTGAGCATAAGTTTAGCAGATTTATGTCATGGCTGTTTCAGGTTATTTAATAAAATTATGCATTAGTAGTTCTTTATTTTATGTATTTAAAAACTTAAGTATCAGAGCTAACTTCTCTTCCACAGGACTACTTTTAGATTTTTTAGTAAATTATGCTCACAGTCAATTGATGTTTTTTTTGTAGTAAATGAGCCTTTGTAGTTAAAACAGAAATTTAGCTTTTTGAGCATAAAGATTTTACTAGACTTTTTCTTTTTTTTTAAAAAAAAAAAGTTTTGTTCAAACAGATTCATTTCTATGTTTCTGGAGGCCACAGTGTTTAAGAGACTCACTTAGAAAAAAAAAAGATGCAAGTGGGGAGTTTTCTGTTAGTCTGACTTAAAGCAGAGGATTTTAACAAACCAGTTGTTAATGTTTGTTCAGTAGCTGCTGAGTAAATAGCTCAGGCTTATTGTTTGCCAAATTACATCTTATGGCTGTTGTAAATTTCAGCTTCTTGTGTTTTTCTCCCCCGCCTCGCCTCAACTCAGGAAGGACTCAGTAAACCAAGAATTTCTGAGCTTTTCTTTAACATCAAAATTTTACAACAGCTACAGCACAACAAAATGCCATGTATCGCCTACATTTAACACATGCTCAAGTTACAGAAATTTCCAAGTTTTAAATCTCAGACTTAGAAAGATATCTTCTTTCAGGTACTCACGGGCAAGTTATGAACACACCTACAGCAGCAATTCTTAAATCCAACCATTTCACAACACCTTTCTGCAGCAAGTGAAAATATATTCCCAAAAAGGACAAAGTCACCAGATTTTTTAATGGCACACACCAGGAGACGGTGCTGGCACTGAGGCATTAAAAACTTGTTTTAGACTGCTAGCTTTGAGCTTCTTTGTTGGTGGATTTGCCCAGGCTCATGACTCAGTGTTGCTCATCGTGTAGGAGATGATTCGCCCGCCATTTCTGAAAACCTCTCACTCTTTGTCCTCGCCTGTTGGCTTTTATCTGCTGAACTTGTGTATTTCCCCCTGTATCTATTCTCATATTTACACCCAGGTTGTGTTCATTTTTTAATTAGTTTTGTTTCTGCGTTGTGGAGATGTTGGGATTTTTTTGTGATGTGGGGGATGGGAACAGGAGAGGCTTTGTTTCCCTCCAAAAAAAAAAAAAAAAAAGCTTGATTTTTGATACCATTTTCTATTGTGTAATTTAAAGCCATCTGTTAGACTTCCTGTCTGCTTTGCCCATTCACATGTATCCATTACCTGGTATAAAGTTAATCATTACAATAAGGCTTCCTTGTTATAAACTCATTTAACTTTTTCTTTTTTTTGTTTCGCACCATAACATGATAGGTGTGGAGGTGTGGAGGGACGGAAATGACTTGCCTCCCTCAGAGAAAGTTATCGGCTATAAACTCAACCGTATGTGACACGGCTGCCCACGCAAACCTGCCTTAAAAATTCTTTGATGTGTCTTTGATGATGCCTCCCCGACGTGAACATAAGTGGAGCATAAGGAATGTTTTTGAAACAATAGCTGAGGATGTAATTGACTGTGCATAGCCACAGAAGAGAATAAGTGAAGGTCTTTAGTATGTATTTGTTTAGTGATTAATCACTAACTCCAGCCTAGGGATGGGCCACTGATTCGCTATTCTAGGGCATTCTCTGCAGTCTCTCGCGTCTTTTTTTTTCTTTGAGTGTGTGCAAGAGGGAGTGGGGTGGGGGGGGGGGTTCGGTAGTATGCTTGTAGTTGGTGGCTAAATCTTGTAAAGGGTTTCCTAATATGGGCCGTCTTACAGAAGCGCCCTCCCTCTGTGGGCCATCCCCCCCAGATCTCAGCCAGTGATGACACAGCTCGGGTACGACTCACTTCCTCATTAATTGGCTGAAACCAGTTCTTACAGGAACCGCCTGTGATAAATGTGAGAGTTCTGAGAAGTCATTCATTTCTCCTCGCTGCAGCGGCAGAGGAGGCACTGCAGGGGAGTTGAACGAGTTCACCGATGTGTGTGTGTGAGTGCGAGCGAGAGCGGCGTATGTGTGTGAGAGGAGAGGAGAGGAGAGCAGAGGAGAGCAGAGCGGGAGAATGTGACTACTGCTGCTGCTGCTGCTGCTGCCGCCGCTGTATGAGGACCAGCCAACTTTATTTTGAATTATTTTTTGTTTTATTTTTTATTTATTTTTTATTTTTAGCAGCGCTGTTTTCTAAAGCCGTGGTACAGTCTGTACTTTTTTCTGTGTGTGTGTATGTGTGTGTTTATGTGTGGGGATGAGCTGGGATCGTTGCTCTCTCCGTCTTTCTCTCTTCTCCGAGAGAGGAAGCAGGGGAGACCGACACTGTACAGGACATAGGACAGCATGCCTCCCTTTGTTGCTGCCCTTGGGCTGGTGAGTAACAATGATGTGACGTGATTTGTGCCCCCCCACCCCCCACCCCCCACCCCACCCCCTCCTCTTCCTCCCCTCCATACCTCCCTCCCTCCCTCCTCTCTCTTTCTCTTCTTCCTTCCCTCCCTCTTTCCCTCCTTTTCCTCTCTTCCTCTCCCCCCTCCTCCTCTTCTCTCTCTTTCTCTCTCTCTGTTGGTTGAGGCAGAGCTGTTCCACTGCTGGGTGCGGCACTGCAGAAGCCCTTCAGGGAGTACTTGGAGGCCCAGAGGGCCAAGCTGCACCATCACGCCGGAGAGGGGATCCCGACTGTAAGTACAGGGGGGCCTCACAGCTTCTATTCATTCACGTGTGCGCGCCAAGAAAAGAATGCAGCCCCCTTACTTTTGCCTCTTTCACTCCTTCTCCCTCCACTTTTTTTGTGTGTGTGCGTGTGTGTGTGTCCCTTTCTTCTCTTTATCCAACCCCACCTTTTATATCTCTGACCCCATTTTCTCTCACCCTCTTTACCCTCAGCTCATTTTTTTTTCCCTTTAAACTTAATTTCATGTTTATAACCTGTAGTGTTAGAGTAGATTACAGAGGCTTGTTTAGGGCCAGAATGACAGAGTAGGTTAGCGCTGCACTGGGCGGGCTGGAGGGGAGGGAGGAGAAAGAGGGGAGGAGGGGGAGGAGGAGAAGGAGGAGGAGGGGGAGGAGAGGGGCCAGTGTGGGGTCTGGCTCCACTCGCTGTATTGAACTGTACTACTGTAGCGCGGGGCGTGCTGACTCATGCTCCATCTTACCAATTGGGAGTGTGTGTGTGAGTGTGGTCACTCCCCTACGTGTCACACACACACACACACTTGCACTCGGTGCCCCGCCTGAACCCAGCACTGACTGTAGACCGGGGCGGGGGCCCCCCCCCCCCTCCTCCGCCAGTGACAATCCATCAAAACCCCCCTGTCTAGAACAAAAAGAGCCAGTTGTAGCCTATTTCTCTTTCAAAGCTTTCCCCCTCTCCTTCCCTCTTTCTCTCTCTTAAGTGATTCATTGAAATTTTTCTGTTTTTTATGCGCTTACGAGGAAGGAGGAGGAAAAAAAAGGATAAACTTTGAGTTGCACAAGGACAGATTAAGGCATTTCTAGAACAATGTTCCTTTTTTCTTGTAACTTGAGCCTCCTGCAGTTACAGGAGAGAAGCGAGAGGCAATTTAACTTGGTGGAGGCAGGCTGCAGGCTGGGGTCAGTGGGGGCGTTTAGGAGGGAGGACGGCGGGGGCTGCCGCGTGTTTTATTACCCCTGATCTCTATCTGTCCTGCACATGGAGCTGGATCCCCACCTAGCCTACAGCATCAGGAGCAGAGGGGAGAGCAGGGTGTGGGGTGAAGGGGGTGAAGGGAGGGGGGGTGGGGGNGGGGGGGGGGGGGGGGGGGGGGGGCCTCAACTAAACTGACCGAGCTCCTCTCTCCTCTCTTTCTCTCTGTTCTTGCTGTGGTTCCTGGCAGGAGGAGAGCTGGCTGTCGTGGCTCTTTGAGAAGGTTGTGGTCATCATGGTATGCTTCTTTGTCTGCTCCATTGTCAACTCCATGGCCCAGAGCTACGGCAAGCGCAAGCAGCAGGAGAAGAGCAAAACGGAGTGAAAGCCAACTTCAGAAGCTCCTTCGCTCATCTCAGCTGTCCCTCCCGGCTCATTATCTGAAGCAAAATATCAGCTTTCTCTCCTGTTTATTGTGTGTTTACGTTGAACTGGGACTTCCATTTACTTGCTTTTTCTGAAGGCTTTTGCATTTGGTAGTGATTTCCACGATTGTGCTTTGTGAGGTAGGTGCTTGTTGGAGTGCGTGTGAGCTTGTTGTGTTGTTTCGTGTTGGTGCTTTTAGCAGCTCCACGTGAGAAGAAGCTGCTGGCAATAGTTCTCCTTAGTGAGGCCTTAAGCTGCACTGTCAAAGGACCTTAAAGTATTACATGTCCGTAGAGTCACTTCAATTGAATAAGCTAGTTAATTTTGAAGTTACTTGCTCAATAACCTGATTATTTATTATCTCTGTTAGCTGGTTTATTAATAAGATTGTATTTATTACTGTACTGTTGAGTTCTGTGTAGTGTCGGCTGTGGTTAGGTAAGACTGTAAATGACTGTTTGCTCCTTATTTCTACATTATAGAGCTCTAAGTCAGTTGTTGTAGAGATGTTAATGAGTGTGCTGTGAGATGACCACTTCTTTTGTGCGCACAGTAAAGCTCGTCAAGGTACTTTTGGATGAGAAATGATAAATCGGCCATGAATCACCCCTGCTGGTCCCTTTGTCTGCCCGTATTGTTCTGCTTCCAGGAAGAGAGCACATGAGTCAGCCCGGGGCTACATTACCAGATGCAGCCATATATTGAATCAGATCTGTGTGTGTGTGTGTGTGTGTGTGTGTGTGTGTGTGTGTGTGTGTGTGTGAGAGACGGAGAGGGATAGTAGGTTGCGTGGCTGCCACATTTGTTGCTCTCCCTTTTTATCTTTTATGGATTAAAGCCACTAATAGACTCGCCTGGGAGTCTCAGTGAAGAAGGTAGTAGCCTTAACTTCTCTGTGTCGTGTCTTTCTTTGTCTTCACTTGAGCTTTTTTTTTTTTTTTAATCCTTGTTTTTTTTACCTCAGCAAGCTCACGTTTGACATCTCCTGAAACAAAACATTTTATACGATCGTTTCGGATAACGTCAGCTGGCTCTCGGTATACGCAGCACCTTCTTTCTTTTTTTTTTTTTTTTTTCAGAGAAATGTGCTATTTTCTTCTCCCTCGTCTGTACTGCCGCTGTGCTACGCTGGACTGAGCACAGTGGGCGCTAGAGCAGGCACAAGCAGGAGCGAGAGAGAGAGAGAGAGAGAGAGAGAGAGAGAGGAGGGAAAAAAAAAACCTCAAGCGCACAGTGAAAAGCGTCTGTGCCGTTACCTCAGCTGAACCTTCGGATGAACTCGTTGCACTGGCCCAGTCACGGAGCCAGGAGACGAATCACTCGAGTAGATTCAAAACAGAGGGGTACTGTTGAGCGGGCTGAACCCTGCGCTCTGCACCAGCTCTAGTCAGAACACTCACATCTCCTCTTTTCTCCTGTCATGGTAAGTCGGACTAGGATTTTTTTTTTTTTTTTTTTTTTTTTTTTTTTTTTTTTCTTCCTCATCGTTGTGTACATACGTCTCAGGCATGTCCGTCACTCTCTCGGCCTGTCAGATAGCTTATCAGACTGGTGTTGGCTGTTAAGATTGCAAGGCGACAACAGTCTGTAGGCTGTCTGACATTTCGGGCTCTTTCATCTGACCAGCATCCTGTTTTGTCCTCCTTTTCTGTTACTGTCATTGTCTCGGTTAGCATCAGTTCCCATTTAGAGGTGTGTATATGTGTGTGTGTGTGTGTGTGTGTGTGTGTGTGCAGCGATGTCACTTCCCTTTATCCCAACCGCTTGTGAAACGTCAGAAACCTATTGTTTATTTCCTCCATGCTGACGTGGGTGAGGGTTTTAATGTGGTTTTTATGTGGAGGGAACTGTGTTTTCGCATGTTTGCAAATGCAGATGTAGTGATGTCAATGGTGTACTTCTGCGTCTGTGTACGTGTGAGTTGGCTCTTAAATTTCCAGAGAATCCAGACAGTACACACCTTATTGCAACACATCACATTGTGACACCCAGTCCTAGGTATGGTACACGCAGTGCTCACCCAGCTCTCCCCTTCCCTTTTACACTTCCCTCTTCTCTGTTACTGAGAACTTTCTTCTATTGCTCAATATGCACTTTTTTTTTTTTTTTGCAGGAGGCTGCGCTTTATTGGAACAACTCTCTAGAGGGGGTGTTTTTTCTAAGGGCCACAAATTGGTAATTATACAAAGCTGAAAATCATTGCTTGACCAGCGGATACTTTTGCCGCAAAGCCTCAGTTTTATTTTAGATTTTTTTTTTTTTTTTTTCTAGAACTTTTTCCTGGTCATAAAAGCAAAATCATTGGATAACACTGGAATGGCTCGCTGGCTTACAGAGTGTTTTTCTTGGCAGTCTCAGGATGTCCTGTTCCATAAGGGAGCCCCCTTTTGGCATGCCTGTCTGAATGTGTGTGTGCATGTTTGTCTAGAAACTCTGTTTATATTTCGATGTGTAAGTGCCTCTATTTCTTGTCTAATAGATGTCTGTACCTGCGGGGTTATTTTAAAGGTATGTATGTTTTTCATCTGCTTTCACTATAAATAAAGTCTGTGGATAAAAAAAAAGAGCATCTGTGTTCTGTTCATTATGTGATCAGTCTCGACCACACTGGGCCGGCGTTGACCCTCAGGCCTCCAAAGAATCTCACATGTCAGCCGAGAAAGAGGGTCAGCAAGGATACTGAGTCCATCACAACTCCGATTTCCCCGTCTAATGTTTCACATCCAAACGGTTATCACGTTACTGATTTGCTCTCTGCACACTGACATCATCTCCATTTCAGATTCCAAGTTAAGCCTTTGCCGTGAGTTGTGAAAATAGCAACACTTAATGCTCTTGTGACAAAGTGTATTTTAACTCAACAGTCTCACCAACTAAACTATAATCTGTGGAGTAAATAATAATGATGTGAAACATTTGACGCACAAAGTGTGTGTCTATATGAAACATTTTGGGTAACTTACTATGAAATAATAACAAAATTATGATTGAAATTGTGTTTATAAATGCATGTATCAGAATCAGGTTACTGGTTACAAGGAATTTGCTGTGGTGTTTTGGGGCAAAACAAACATAAGAGAAAATTGAATTAAAAATAAAAACAAGTATTGCACAACGACATATATATATATATGTCGTATATCGTATATTGCGTCAAACGACATAAATAGAGGATAGGATAAAGTTGAAATGAATTTTAAAACATTCTATTAACATGATTTTATGATGGTATTACCGTCAAATATCAGGCTATTAAAAAAAAACTTTACATCGGTGTGTGTGATTAGTGTCTCGCGGTCAGATGTGTGACCTGTGCTAAAGGACCCCTGCTGAGAGAAGTCCTGTTCCCAGAGCAGCCACACCCTGAGCACCACGAAGACGACTATTTCCACCCACCGCACCCCACCCTGACTTACCCCGGGGCTCTGGCTGAAAACCCAACATGCAAATCCTGCCTGTACAAACAGGCTGGGGGACTGATAATTCAAATAATGACACTGCTTTTGTCCTTCCTCTCTTTCTCTCATCTCTCCATATGCTGCACATGTACTACAGTTGAATCCGGGTTTAATTTCTGGTGCACTGACCCCCTCCACCTCCACCTCCCTCACTGTCTCCAGTTTTTTTGCCCCTCCCTGTCAGCAGGCTAACCACCGAGGGATGCTGAAATATCACTGACTTCATCCACCGCCCACCCACAAGCCCACTCTGCATTTGGTTATCCACTTAGTTCCTTTCACACTCTGTCTCATTACATTATGCTGACCAAGTGGATTTTTCTCCTTTCGTTTTTTTTTTAAATTCAAAATCACATTAAGATCCTTTTGTTTTTCTAAGTAGCAGTCAGGGGGTCATATCAGACGAAAGTGAAGTCAGCAAGCAGGATGTACGGCACAGGAAAAGTTGCTTACCAAAGGAAATGAATGAGCACATCATTGTTGTATTTGCACAATAGAATGAGAGTTGATTACAAGAATAATTTAAATGTCACAGAGTATAATAGTGAAACAATAAGAAGCACCATTTGCTTGTGACGTGCAAGTCACAAGCAAATCTTTTAAGCTCTACATGTAACTTTTTACAGTGTCCAACAGTAGCTAATGTTAGCTAAGAAATGGGGTCCGCCAACTTCACCAATTAACCGGCACCCACCACAACACAGAGTCCATGTTGTATTTATGTTATATACATTTTGTTGAGGAAACACTGACATGTATTTTGATACTGTAGTTTTAGCTGGCTAACATTAGCTAACATTAGCTTGCCTTCAAATTGCTAGCTAGCAAATGCCACAAAATACTAAATTGAGTGGATAACATTAGCTAACTCATCCAGATGCCAGGGCCTGGTTTTGAGATAGCTGTATCAGCCAAGAAGCAACAGATTCATGCAGCCTAGATTTATTACAGCTAGCTGGGTGGCCAACGAGCTAACCATAACCAAAGCTAAGTTTAGCCGGCTAGCTTTAAAGTTATGCTGCATGGTTGCTTTGTAACATTAGCTGATGAAATAATCTGCAAACATGAAGCCAATTAGCATAACGGAGCCAGTGGTCCAAATTAAATATAGGTAGTTTTCAAGGTATGCTGTGATATTTAAATTGATGTTTAGCGTACTGTGTACATTTGCTTATCTACGATATTGGGGGAAAAATGCAACTGGACAGAAAATCTCACCCTTTTTTTTTTTTGTTATTTTCAAGAGACTTTTTCATACGTACATCCATGAAAAAAC